GCAAAAAGTGGGAGGAGCACCTAAGGACCTGCAACCTCTCCTCTGGGGCAACCAAGCTCTGGGCTACAGTCAAGTCGCTGTCTAACCCGACGAGACGTGATGACCAGGTGGAAATTTCATTCGGTGATCGCGCCTCGTCGGATTTTAGCTGACTTTTCACACTGCATTCCTCGGTAGACAAAGCAAAGCGACGTGTAACCCACCCTTTTGCCAAACTGCCAAACACCAGCGCCGTGCTTGATTTCTCCAGGAAGGAGGTTCAGGGGGTCATCGAGAAGGCGAAAGCCTCCAAATCCATCGGCCCCGACGGAATAAGCATACTGAGGCTGAAACACCTAGGACCAGCGGGAGAAGAATTTCTCACGAGGGTCCTCAATTTGTCTCTGACCACCCTTAAGATACCCGATGTGGGCAAAATGGGTAGGGTGGTTCCGCGACTGAAACCAGGGAAACCAGCCAACAAAGGGGAGTCCTATCGGCCGATAGCTCTCCTTTCCCCACTAGCGAAGACACTTGAGGCCTTACTGCTCCAGACTTTCACATCTGCGTCCAACAGCCCATCAGCATGGCTTCCGGAAGTGCAAAGTAGCACAACAGCACTGAACGCTGTAAACATCCAGATAGTCCATGGCCTTAACCAAAATCGACCCTGCGGGCGAGCTGTCCTGGTAGCATTGGACTTGTCAAAAGCTTTTGACACAGTTAATCACTCAGTGCTACTAACGGACATTAAGGAATCCTCATTACCGCCGGTGTGGCAGAGGTGGGTCAGGGGCTACCTGAGTGGTCGACAATCATCGGTAATATTTCGAGGTGTAACATCTAAACCCAGGACCCAGGACCCCACAGTGCGGTGTCCTTTCCCCGCTACTGTTTAATTTCTACATCTCGAAACTCCCTCCACCACCAGAAGGAGTTTCCCTAACCTCTTATGCCGATGATTGTACGATAATGGCGTCTGGCCAGGATATTGACGACCTCTGCTCGAAAGTGAACGGCTACCTCGCTGATCTCTCCCACTTCTTCACTGCAAGACAACTAAAAATACAACCAACGAAATCCTCGGCTACCCTCTTCACCAGCACGTTGGAGAGTACATTTAAGTAGAGTCAATTGTGCAAGTTGATGATAGTGATTGTTAATAGTAAAGTGTATTGTAATTGTATTGTGAATTACGGAGTAAATAAAAGACATTAGATAAAATCTTTATAACGAAAGAAACTGCAAATTAAGTTGGCGAGTTTTTATTTAACAATCCAGAGATCGTACCCGAAGGATCTAGAAAATAATCGAGGTTGATTTAGTAAAATCGTAACAATTGGTGTCAGAAGTGGGATTGTTAAATAAATCCCAAAGGATAATATTTGCAACATGGTAAAGATACAGGATTTGACGATACCTCTTCTCAAGAGGGAGTTGGCAAAGCGAGGATTGTCGACATCTGGAAATAAAGCAGAGCTGCAATCGAGATTGCGAGAAGCAATGGAATTTGAAGGCATCGACTTGAACCAGTACGAGTTCCATCGCGAGGATGAAGATATATCCTTGAAGGACATTGACAAGCTTGAACTAGATGTGAAGGTCATGACACAAATATTCCGACGGTAAATGACCTAAAGATATTGGGAGTACCACTATACAGCCTGCACTCCTTTTCACTCCGCATACGACCGCAATTGCCGCAAAACTCCAGAGCCGCAACAAAATACTCAAAGCGCTCGCCGGCAGCACCTTGGGTAAAGACAAAGAAATTATGCTGCATCGATCTGGGCGCTACAGGCTTGCCAGAACACCGCCCTCAGAAACGCGACAGGAAACCTCTTGATGTCGCCGGAGCATCACTTACACAGCGAAGCATCTATGCTACGAGTTAAGGAGCATAATGCTTTGCTGTGCAAGCAGTTCCTATTGGAATGCTACCGAAGGGAGCACCCCAGTACGCACCTAATAGAAGCTGAACCTCCACCTAGGCACTGGACCTAAAGGACACAATCCAGCAATATGTACAACAACCGCTGGACAGGACGGCGTACAGACAAGCACTGAAACCCATTCACCAGGAATCAGTCAACACCTTCAAGGACTCCCTTCCAGTGAATGGCGTACTGGTCCAGCCCCGTCGAAACAGCTCGTTTCCTGGACCTCCCACTAGATGACCTCGGCGACTTAGACTGATCAAGCCTGTGCCTAAGCGGGGTTAGCGAACCGCTACAACAACAACAACAACTAATGCAAAAAAGTTGACACCAATATTGGATATATGCCATTAGTTTTTTTCTTCAAGCCCAAATTGAAATAATTTATAATATCTTTCTCAGATCCGCGAATTTTTGAAGAAGTCTACATATTACTCAAGCCGTTTTCTACAAGCCCCACTATAACGCTTTCTCTTCATTTTATAAGATTTCATTTTTAAGTTTTTTCCTATTGTTAGAAATTACAATTTACCTCTATATTTCTTTATAAGATGACCCTACCACCTTTTCGGCTAAACGAAATACGCACTGAAATTAATACTGTTGCGAAAATGCGAGGCGAATGTCAGATGAAAGAGAGAAGCCGATAACTAGTACGTTCTAGAAACGATGAAACAAGAACCTTCCATAGCGAACAATTCGATGCTTCTACGCTTTCGTCTGCGAGCAGCCGACTGCTATATAAAGGCGACACTCAGCTGCAAGTCAAGTGAGTGATAAAGTAAACTCGTTGGCGTTAACATCAGTAAAGTCGTAAAGTAAACACGTTGGAGAGTACATTTAAGTAGAGTCAATTGTGCAAGTTGATGATAGTGATTGTAAATAGTA